AATCTATAAAGAGTTGATAGTCAATCTAGGAAGAGTCATTTATTCACTCTTTGAAAGAGTTGATATTTTAAATCTTTTGAAAGAGTGAATTTCAATCGGTAAGGATTAGTCCCTAACTTGAATCTTGTAAAGATCTAAATTTCAATCCGAAAGATTGAATAGTCAATCTTTAACATTTAGAGAGTAGGTGAAAGAGAGTATAGAAACATTAAGAATTTGGTAGTAAATAGATTTCGTATTTAGTTGGCATTATATTTTATTGAAACGCTTCAAGTGCCTGTGTGCGAAGGTTTCTTTGTGTGTGTTTTTTTTTGCTGTGCTGAAACGGATCCTCTCAACCTCTGCTGCGCGCAGACAGCGCAGACGGGCGGTGCGTGGGAATGAATGGTGTGTGGGATTATTATTCAACGATTCTGCGTTTGCTCTGCTATTAATATCAATGCTGAGTTGTGGCAACAGCATGCGCTGTTATACATCCGCGGTGGTTATTGCAATACGTGAGTCACGCGCCGTATGCGTGTCATTGTCATCGTCATCATCGCCGCCGCCGCCACCGTCGTCGTTATCATCATTACCATTGTCATCATCAGCGTCGTAATCGTCATCATCAGCGTCTTAATCGTCATCATCAGCGTCGTAATCGTCATCATCAGCACCGTAATCGTCACCATCATCGTCTAAAGCCGTATCAACAGAGTTCATACAGTGTTCTATAGTGACACAGCTACTCCAGATCCTTTGTATTCGATTATAATTATACTTGTATAAAGTACAAAAATCTAGGAGAGATATAGGAGAGCGTAGCCAGCAGCTGGCGGCGGTGTAGCGGGGGAGGAGGGGGAGGGGGGGAGCTCATAGCGTGAGTGGGAGATGAGGTATTTTTGGGATGTTTTTGCGTTCTTTGCGTGCGTGCCGTCTTTCGTTGAGCCGGAGAGAGCACTCTAAGTTCTAACAGCAGCCGGTCGATGGGTACTGCGGGGTAACGTCAATGAACCGTATGACGCGCCGGCGGTAAGAGACTGTCGGCCAGATCGCGTGAAATCATAGCCGTCACGAGACGGTGGCTGGTCTGGGAGATTGGTGTCGATTCGATCGTTAATGGTAGAATCGTTTTTGGTTGAGATTTGTGGATGTTTATTGGTTAAATCTATGGCGTTGGTGTCAGTCGTCTAGGCTCGATTTGGTGCTGCTTTTTTTTCTCTCTCTCTCTCTCTCTCTCTCTCTCTCTCTCTCTCTCTCTCTCTCTCTCTCTC